GGCAGAATGTCACTTCGTGCAGCGGAATTTGGCTTAAAAAAATCAATGTTACACAAACGTTTAAAATACAACGTGACAGAGCGGAAGATTCCGGTGCAGAGTCGGATAATTTAGAACAAGGGAAGTCAAAATATGCTAGTTATAAAGTATTTTCAGCACAAGAAGAAAATATGTTGAATAAATATGTTCTTAAAAGTTCATCAATCCACTATGGTTTAACTTTGCGGCAAATGAGAACACTAGCTTACGAGTATGCTCTTAAATTAAACAAGAAATTTCCCGAGAAATGGAATCAAGAAAAACAAGCGGGTATTCACTGGATGAAATCATTTTTAAAGAAACATAAAAATATATCTTTAAGAAAACCGGAAAACACCAGCCTGGCTCGTGCAACTTCCTTTAACAAAGCAAATGTTAGTGCATTTTTTTCAAATTATAAGAGCGTGTTAGAAAAATATAAATTTGAATTAAATCGCATAATAAATTTGTACGAAACTGGAATAACTACCGTTCTACCATCTCCAAAGGCACTCACTGAAAAAGGAAAGAAACAAGTAGGCCAGATAGTTTTTTTTGAACGTGGACAGCTTGTAACCTTTACAGGAATTATAACAGCGACCGGAAATGCACTGCCTCCTGCCTATGTGTTTCCCAGAGTCCATGCAAAAGAACATTTTGTGAATGACGGACCTATTGGAGCTATTGGTTTAGCCCATAAAAGTGGCTGGATGACTGCAGAGTTATTTATGGATCATCCATAATGGATGTACTGAAGCATATTGTGCACCATCTATCACCATCGAAGGAAAATCCCATTCTATTACTTATCGATAACCATAAATCACACATATCCATGCCAGCTATGTGCTTTTGCAAGGAAAATGGTATTGTGCTTCTTTCGTTTCCGCCACATTGTTCCCATAGGTTTCAACCATTGGACGTCGGAGTTTATGGGCCTTTTAAAGCAATCCTAAAATCCACCTTCAACAACCATATGGCCACACATCCTGGGAAGCAAATAACCATTTATGACATTCCACAGTTGTCTAAGCAGCCATTTTTACTAAGCTTTGTACCAAAGAACATTACAAAAGCTTTTGAAGCTACTGGTTAGTGGCCACTAAATGAACATATATTTACTGAAGCAGACTTTTAGAGCTCATACGTATCTGATAGGCCCTTATCAGACACCACAGGTCAAAATGCCACTGGGCCAGAAAATAATTCTATTTCTAATCATCTCGATACTGCTACTCCTGGACCCTCTGGAATTGTAACACCTGAAGTTCTCAGACCATACCATAAAGCTGCTCCAAGGCAAAATATTAATAGAAGAAAAGGCAAATCATGTATATACAGGGATGGTAATGTGCTCTTAGGCCGTTTAATAAATAAAGACAAATGCATTATGAGACGCGGGAGTGGTGGAGTGACGTAAGAGTAGTGGGGCAAGCCAGACCGCGCCGCGCGGCTACGATCATCGCCCGACCGCAGACAAGAGAATGTGTTGTAAGTAAGCGGTAGTACGTTTGTTATAAATTAGGAAATATTCTCTAATAAAAATGGTTTACACCCTTGAAGAAAAGATTCAATTTATAACGTGGCATTTAAATGGGATCTCAGATCGAGAAATTCAAAGATTATTTCCAAATATGTTCCCAAATAGACCCTTACCAGCAAGGGCAACAATTCAAAATGTTGTAAATAATTTTTTAACATTCGGAAGTGTTAATAGGGTTCATAATAGGGAACCGCAAGCAAGCCCAGTAAATGAAGAACGCGAATTACGGGACACTTTAATTTGTGCAAGCATCGAACAAGATTCAACCCAGTCAACCAGACAAGTTGCCGAACAGTTCGATCTATCACGGTCTATGGTAGGCAAAATTTTAAGAAAGCATGGGTATCACCCATACAAATTAAAGAGGAGTAATGAGCTATTTCCTGATGATCCATACCGTCGCATGGAATTTTGCGAAACCGTTATAGAAATGGCGAACCGGGATGAAAATTTCACACGAAATATCCTTTTTACCGATGAGTCGTCATTTTTTATACATGGTAGGCATAATTCCATGAACCATCGGTATTGGTCCAGGACGAATCCTCATCAGTATTATGCTGCCAATACTCAACGACCACAAAAATTAAATGTTTGGTGTGGATTCCACACTGTGGAATGTTGGGAGACCATGTTATAGGTCCATTTTTTATAGATGGTACTTTAAATGGTCAAAAGTATCTTGAACTGCTGCAAAATGAAATTGTTCCCGCAGTTCGTGCTCTGCCTGTGCCTTTTGAGTCAGTATGGTTTCAACAGGATGGATGTCCCGCACATAATACCCTGTTGGTAAGAGAATATTTGCAAGAAACTTTTGCAGACCGCATAATAAGTGGTCACGGAAATATTCTCTGGCCAGCAAGATCACCGGACTTGGCTCCGTGCGATTTTTTTATGTGGGGATATGCCAAATCCAAAATGTACGGATTCCAGCATATCAGGGCAAATAACCTTGATGAATTAAGAGAATTAATAATTAATACATTAAGAAATATCAGACCTGAGATGCTGTCAAATGTACGATAAAATTTTTATAATAGGTTAACCTATTGTACAGCAACGTTTGGGGGCCTATTTGAACATTTACTTTGATTTATTTATTTTTTTATTTAAATATTTTAGAATACAATTTTTGTTTAAATATTTACTTTAATTTATTTATTTAAACATTTTAGAATACCATTTTTGTTTAAGAATATTTGTTTTTTTTATTACAAGAATACTATGGTTTATTTTCCACATTTTCGAAAAAAATTTAATAAGTATTCGTTTTTGTAAACAAAATCATAGTTAAATTTTAAAGGAAATTTAAAATTCCTCCGTCCACACTCCAACGTGGACCGAATATTACTAAAATTATCGAGTCACTCGAATGCGAAATTTGCGTCAAGGTTATCTAGTAGTGGGAATGTAAAGCAGTTAGAGGAGGGGAAGTAAAACATTGGCGGACGTTTAATTGTTTTGATTTAATCGTTTTAAAATCTTGTACTGCACGCTTATGGCAGAGGGAAAATAAGAATTTTGTTATCCTATTCGTTCAACAATGGTTGTTTGTCTCTCTTATTTATACGTTTATCTCACTTATTCGTACGTTTTATATAGCATGCATCTTTGTTTATTAAACGGCCTAAAAGCCCATTACCATCCCTGTATACCAGTACACCAGAAATGAAATCAATTAAAGAAAGAGAAATAAAAATTCCAAAGGAAATGGAAAAAAAAAGTGAAGAGGGTAATTTTGGACAGTTCTTCAGGTGATGAGCAAATGAACATAGAATACAAGGATTCTTCGAATGATGTCTCTTTTTCAGATGAGGGAATTGACGAAACCGATTTTATGGAAATAGAAAATTCTATTTTGGATAGTGACGTGATTTCTTTTAATGATTATTTGCTTGTTAAATTTGACACAAAAAAAGTTTAGTTTATTATATTGCTCTTGTGATAAAAGTATGAAGTTCAATATCTAAGACGCAGGTTACCTGGATGGAGTTTTCCAGTTATAAGTGACGTAGCTACAGTTATAAGGGATGATATTGTACTTAAGTTACCCAAACCAGTGAATCAGAAGGGAACAGCAAGAACCTGTGACCACCTAAAATTCAATATAGATCTTACGAAGTATAATGTAAAGTAAACATGTTTATAATATTATGTCATAGATTATAGGTACTATCATGTTATATATCCTTAACCTATTGTATTACATATCCTTAAAGAAATTCAGGCAGAATTTTGTTTAATTTTTATTATTTTAACAAGACTTAGTGTTTACATGGACCCCCTCAACAGTCCAAATGCACCCTCTAGTGGGGGACAAGTGGACAAATATATTTTTTTCTTAAAATAAAAATTATGCATATTTAAACAAAAAATTAAATTAAGAAAAAGTAAAAAAGATATCAGCTTTTAAAAAATAGTGTCCATATGTTTCCCCCTCTCCCCTACCTAAATATACAGTGTATCATATAATAAGTTGTCATCCTTTGAGGGGAAGATAGTTCACGCCAAAGTAAACAAGAACCAAGAACCACAGATGTTTAACTCTACTTTCTCTACTACCGGAAGGTCATTGTTTAAACAAATGCAGTGTCGTGCCAAACAAATTCTTAATATTTAAGTAAATTTTCATAATGGTTAATCCGTCAATAAAGATATTTATTTATTTATTTATAATTTGTTATTTAAAAACCGTAACACTAATGCAAAAGTAATCGAAGTAAAACTATCATCCCGGGATGATCCCCCAGGGGATGACAACTTATTACATAATACCATGTATCATTTTAGAACATTTTATTTTTTTTAATATTCTCTATTAAAAATTCTGTGCTACATGTAAAAACAATAATTCAGTTTAATTTTAAACTCTTAATAATTTTTATAACTAAAACAATGCCGTTTAGGTATATGCTTTTCAATGGAAAAACTTTAACGACGTTGTTCCATTTGTAAAAATTATTATTAAGAGCTCAAAATTGAACTAAACTATTATGAAGAACAGTATTTTTAATAGAACAGGAAAAAATAAAATGTTCGTTGCAAATTAACCACTCTAATATAGGTATTTACAATGAAAAAAAAAACTTTAACGACGTTGTTACAGTTCTTAAAATTAACATTAAGAGCTCAAAATTGAACTAAATTATTATTTTTCATGTACAAGAAGATTTTAAATAGAGACAGAAAAAATAAAATATTCATTTCAAATGAACCGGCCTACTATACATGATAATAATATTAACAATAACCATCTATATTTAAATAAGAATATTATTATTATCATGACATGATAATAATAATATTCTTATTTAAATATAGATGGTTATTGTTAATATTATTATCATGTATAGTAGGCCGGTTCATTTGAAATGAATATTTTATGTTTTCTTTTATTTTTGTATAGTAATATCAGACAACAGAGCTTTGACTGGCTTACCTTTATCCAGCCGGTGTATCCATTACTTGTAAAATCGTGAATTAATAATAATAACTTCTTGTGTGAACCGAAACATACTGTTTTTAAAAATTGAGGTTCATTGGTTACTGTACTATATGTAAGTTCACTTTGATTCTAAAACAATATAAATAGTTATTTATTAATATCCTTTTTGATATATAAAATTGAATACCATTTTTAAAATTTAATACAAAATGAGCAAAAATACACAATTTTATTAAATTTTATCATAGACTGGTTTAGATGCCACTATAATAACATTTTAAGTGTATAATTGGCACATGTTAATCACAATTTAAACCATTTTTAATTTTCTAAATAGGCCAACGTCGAAAAAAATATTTAAAATCTACTACTATAAGACAAAGTTTTGGAGAACTGGATATCGATTTTTTAGGAATATTTTTAAAAATGTGGTTGCGCTTATTTAACATTACAATAACTGTTTAACAAAAATCAAAGAACAGAAACAATATCCACTGCAAGTTGTCGAAGAATATTTTTCAATACTATATAAATGCCCTATAAATAAAGCAATTTGATTTGGACAAACGGGCAGAACTGCCTCGCGAAATTTAGCACTTTTATTAAACCAAGTGTTTTATAGAAAAATATTAAAGGTTGTTGCAATAAAGTGCAAATTTCTATAGTTTAGTGTTAACAATTTTAAATAAATTAGTGGAAAAAGTGTTAACTGTGGTAATACCAAAATAAATCACATCACTAATGTGGCCAGTTTAATATTTAAATTTCATAATATGTTATTTTAAATGTTTGACGGATAAATTACCAAATTTATAATGATATATGGGACAAAATTATGGAGGTGGGAGCAGTGGCGGCCGGTAGTCTTCGCGCAGTTGAGGCACGCGCATCTTTTTACTCTGTCGCTTTAGTATCACTTATGAGTAAGAAAGAAACAACCCTACCCTGCGCGTGTTACGGACGCCGACCCTGCACCCAAGTACAGCGACCTTAAACGAAATTATTATTTATTAAATAATAATAAATAGTAAAATAAAATCATGTTACATCCGTTAAGATATAAAAATCCTTGTTGTTCACTTTTCTATAATTTCACTAAATAAGCAACTTGTGATTTTCCTGGTTTGATAGAATCCATTTTTGTAAGCAGTGTTGATTAGATCGTCAAACTTATAAGTCTTTCTTCAGTAAATATTTGGTGTTCATAAAAACTTGTGTTTTTATCCAACTTTATTAACTGGCGCCACAGCGCAGGATTGCCAAAACGTAAATACACGGTTCGTTCTACGATTTATTTGGAAATCCGGACCAAGAAAGAAGAAAGTCAACCGCAAGAAAAATCAAGAAACTTGTCGACAGAAAGACCTGATCGGACCAAATTCTTCGTACATTGACCCTCAAAAGACGTACTATATTTATCTGTATGACGAAAATCTACGTCCTATTCTCGAAAAATTTTTTTCATCTTTATTTAATAATACAACACTAAAAATTATTCTTTGTCAGTTAAGATATTCCAGGAATTGAAAATCAATCTGAAATTGTTAATAATTATCACAATGCTAATCATAACGGAATCAACGACACGTATGAACATTTGTGTAAAAAATATTATTGTCCAAATATAAAAAATTTAATTATAAATAAATGTGAAATCTGTTTAACATCCAAATACGAAAGAAATCCTATTAAAACATCATTTAAATACAACTTTACTCCACATTCCCCCCAAATTAAGACACTATTTTTCACACCACAATTTTCCCAAAAACATGTTGATCAAGGTCCCGAGTTCAAAAATAGAGTAGTTAACAAATTTTTCAATCTCCATAATACTATACATCCAGATCTAACTCTTCATCCAACTCACCTACATTCTACCATTATTGAAAAATTACGTGTTTTAGAACCTTCTAAAACAAATATTTTAGAACTTATGCTATCTGCCAAAGCAAAAAACAAAAGCCGAAAATTAACGAAACCAGAACAGATCAGCCCAAAATTAATTCTAACAGTCCCGTACATTTTTGTATATATCTAAACACGAAAAACCCTATAGAAAAGAACTATTAAAAAATCAAGACAATGAAAATAAAGACATCATTTATACAGTGCATCCTAAAACTAAAATAGAGATTATTAATAATGTTAGGAAAATTAAACATCCCCCTAAATAAACAAATGAAAAAATATTTACACAATATAGAAAGTGATTTAGGAATTCATGAAACACAAATTAATATCGCAAATATCGAACACGTATATGATTTTTTATTAATGCTTTTACGTAAAATTACATTTTCAAAAATAAATTTGACAAATTTTGAACTATTTTCTGCCGATGAAATTAATAAATTAGAAGAAGAATTAGAAAAATTTTACGATCCTAACCAAATTATTTCAACAAATCTGCCTAAATACTCTCAAACTATTTTAATTCACACTAACCATACAATTTTATTGATTTTAAAAATTCCAATCCTTCCCTCTAATCAAAGTTTTTCCAATCCCCAATGAACAAAAAATTCTTATCTTCCCACCAACGTCCTGGAACTCCCACAACGATTGGTTAGAAGCCTGCCAACATATATATATAACAACTAGACATTTTTTCTGGAATAAGAAAACCACCAGCAATTGTTCCATATTGAATCCATATCGATGCACAACAGCTAACGCCAAATCAGAGATTGTATACGAATTACCCGATGAAAGAATAGTAGTATACTTCCCTACGAAAACATTCCGGTGTAACCAATCAATAACAGTCGATTGCTACACGAACCGATGTACCAATAAAGAAGAAGATGTCACACCTAAATTTTATATACACAGTTTGCCTCCGGCAAAACACAAAATTATGTTACAGAAAATGGACATCCCGACCGGATTCTACATAACACCAATCCAACCCCTTCATTTGCACCCGGTTTCAAACATTAAAATTACTGGATACTTTTCTTTACCAATCAGTTTAATTCAAACATTGAAATACAGCGAATTTCATACTTTGAAATTACTTTTGCATCTAGTATGAATTTTAAGCAATGAAATGCATTAAAAATTTAAAATATAAAACAACTGTGTTATAACTATTAATTCTTTTGATTAGGCATTTGCCTTAACAAAACGGCTTTTATTTTTTTGTTCAAGGGCCCCCGCAAGCCTTGGGCACCTATAGGCCGGATTATCATTGTATCCGTCCTTTTGACAGTTACCCATTTATTTTATTAGTTTCTTACATCTAGAACGGTATGGATGTACACTGTTAAGTGTTTTATTTTTAGGTTAAATAATTGTTAAGTATATTTTTAATAGGGATATTTGTTTAGTTGCCTCTTTCCAAAAGAATTTAATTTGATTTATTGAGGTTTCTTTTGTTTATTACTTTGTTTTGATAGTATGCAACTCAGAACACTCCATTGAGATTTAGTTTGTTTTAATTTGCTCATTTGTTTTTAGTTTTAGCAACAGTGAGTTTTCGTTGCATTTGTTTTTAGATTTTGCAACACTGTTGAGTTTTTGTTTAAATAATCTTCTAAGCACTTAACAAGTTTTACGCTTTCTTTTCCGTTTTATCACTGAAGCCGTTTGGTTGGGAGTAAGCTTTGGCTTAGAATTTGAATAGAATTCCAAAGATGTGTAGTAATTCTCCTGATTTAATGGCACAGGGCCGGATAAAGCATTAATTGTGTCGTACAAAAGCTCTAGGTAAGTTAATAACTTTTAAAATAGTGGTAGAATATTCTTAACCACGCTGTCTCCATTTTAGATGTTAGTGATTTTCCAACGTACTTTTTGTTGACCTAGTCCTTGAATGGTCCTTAGTTTGAAAACTCCTTAAAATAAGGGTAAGTTAATGCAACCGGATTTTGTAGGGTGCTTTTTAGGGTTTTTAAGATTTAGTATAGTTTTTCTGTGAAGCTAATCAGTTTTTTTATGGGATTTATGCCGTTTTTGCTTGAGTTTTTTGGTTGGGTTAACCATGTTTGTGCAATCCAACAAGACTATTTGGATATGTTATGGAATCCAACAAGACTGTTGGGTTATGTTAACTATGTTCATGAAAAACCATGATGACAATCTGACATGCAACATCGAAAACCAACCATCTACTGCGAACAGGGCGTACTCCTACATAGTTATATTAATGTTAAAGAGCGTTCACTACACTCCCTTACATGTTTATGTAATTTAGAGTCAAGCATCACATATAGTCTTCAACTTTAATTTGTAGTTATAATAAACATAGTTTTTATCGATGAATATTTTTTAGTCTCTTAGACTTTGGTTTTTGTAAACCATATATGGCCATATAAGGGTACCCTATTTGTTTAAACCATTAAACATTATATACGATCACCATCACGTTAACAACTGTGAAAGAAGTTAATTATAATTTATATTTATATTTTAAACTTGACTTTTTATACCCTTATTTACCAATAAGTTTGTGTCTAGCTTAATTGGATTTTAACAACTGGCCTTAAATAGACCCTGGCGCCCAATTTTAATTTAAATTTAGTTAATATATTTTGTATACACGTAAGTATCGAAAAACAACATTTGCCCATCAACTTATCTCTCCGCTGCTAAGCTGCAGGAGAATTACTACACATCTTTGGAATTCTATCCAAATTATTTTTTTTTATTTTTTTTTGTTCAGTATACGTTAAAACCTCGGTTAAAACTTACTGCAAAATATTATTTATAAGTTATGAATCATAACAAAAAATTTAAATTTAATAATAAAAAAACAGTATATACAACTACATCCTTGTAAATAAAGAAAAATATATAATTGTACAAAGTTTTATTTTTAAATACATAATATTTTATTCAATGACCTAATAAAATATTTATTGAACATTATTTATGAGCAGTTTATTAATTTCTCTGATAAAAGAAACCCGTAAGTAGAGAAGTTCAATATTAGACATGTTTTTAGACGTGCGTTAAAATGATAAAAATACAAGGTGGCTGCTCCATTCTAAAACACAGTAATCTCTTAAAATGAATTAGTCAAAAATAACTAATTATAAGTCATATTTGACTAATTGTCATAGCGAAAAAGCAGTCACTAATAACACAGTGCAACACAAAAAAAATGGACGCAATTCTGCATAGCA